AAAATGCCCCAAAGTTCAGCATGTAAAACTGTTGTAATTCCAATGCTTTTTGTGAACGAAAGGATGTGTGAGCCAGAATGATCGCGAAATATTCCTCCGATCGAACTTGCGCAAGGCATAACCATCCGACTGGAGGCGGAGACCATTGAATGTGTTCGGCAATTGACGAGTAGGGAAAGGAGTACTGGGAAAGAGCGATATTGTAGAGCTTTGCCCACTGAAATACTACTATGAAGGAGACCAGAAATATCAGAGCAGACTCCGGTGAAGATGAAGGAGTTCCGACGTTTCCATATTTTCCAAATGAGCGATGCGAATAGTTGTTGCCACGGCCCATGATTCAAACGGCAAAGATGAGTACATGAGATTCCATTTAAAACCCAATTCTGCAGAGAATAATTGAAGAAATTATCATGAACAAATGTCCCTGGGAGAGGGTTCCATAACCTGCGAACATTATCACAATCTCTCAATATTTGCAAGAGAGTTTCATCGGGGTCACCACAAAGAGGACATGAAGAGCTGTGAGCAAGAGATCTAGTGAGACGATTGTGATTCTTCAATAATTTGTCAAGGATAGCCAGCCATAGAAAACCACGAATTCATTCAAGGACAGGTAATTCCAAACCAAATTCCAGGAACGATTAACCGGCTGCCATTGATTATGGAGAGGCGAAAATAAGCGTCTTTGACCGACAGCACTTTTATTATTCTCATTCCAGTAACAGCTATCCGGTCCAAGAGAAGCTTGAGGGGGTCGACATATGCCTTAAATGTAAGGCAAAACTGAATGATCGAGCATATTACCAAGGATATCTCATTTAAATAGTACTTTATATTAAATTGACTTGAATTGTAAAAGACTTTATCTAAGGCATAGTTCAAGTGAGCCAAAATGATATATTTTAATGATTTGATTTGTTTTTAAATATCGGATTTAAACTCTTTATATAATATGTACACACTCTTTCGATATTTTCTTTTTAACTTATCTAGTCTACATCATGATCAAGTTGATATATAATACAAAAGAAAATGGTTAGATTGAAGTATGGACCTGATTGAAATGATATTAGTAGTCGGAGGATTTAAGTAGAATGTTTTCAAGTATTAGCTCTCTCTGATAAACACCATCAAGTTAACCCCATTCTTCTCTTCTTCTAAGGTTGTTTCTTCTTTCTCATGGAACCGTGTAGCCTGAAAAATAGCCAAAAAAATTCAGAAAATTAATTTATAATGAATGTTAAAAGATGTTTCTTACAAAAAAATACTTTTTGAAAGCCACGTCGTATGCAATATGCCTTTGCTAACAGATGCTAATCTGAAAATTAATTTATAATGAATGTTAATTCAGAAAATAAATTTTCTAAAGCTGATATTTGAATAAAAAAAAGAGGCCCGTAGAAAGATATATAAGCTCATTATTGTGAAGAAAAGGTAAAAAGGTAGAGCAGGAAAGTTGCATGGCAAAAGTGGAAGGATTCTTCCTCGTGCATGGAAGGAAGCATAGCTTATAACCTTTCCAACTTTTGTCATCATTGTTCCCGACCATTTCTTGCTGTGTTATCTATGTACTTTGTTACATCCATGCCTTCGTCTCTGCTTACCAAGAACCTTCCTTTTCTTTTCTTTTCTTTCCCCAACAATATATATATATATATATATATATATATATATATATATATATATATATATATATATATATATATATATATATATGGGTTATGATTCACTTATATCCAATGTAAAACTCTTAGTTTTATATTTTTTTATGATCGTTAGATGTGGAAATTAAAAGATGAGATTTTTTTTTTTCAGTGAATATATTTTCATTTTCTACTATTAATCTCAATCTTTGATTTCTCTCGTTCAGCGGTCCTAAAAAGATGTAAAATTAACATTAGATCCTACCCCTGTATATAGGGTTTGATAAATCTTTTAAGCCTTCAACGATGTAGTGAATACGAGGATCAAGATTCAAATTTTAGACCACAATACATTAACCTTGATTTCGTAAGAGACAAATAGTTTTTAGATTAATTTTCAAGGTTCGTTTCGTTGTCGATCTTTTACCAAGCGACTGTTATTTACAAGTTTTTCTCTTTTAATAAAAATGGTGAAATTTTCTACTCTTCTAATATTTTTGCATCTATTTTTTATGGTTAAATTTAACGTTAATTCTCTAATAAGTGTTTATTTAGTAATCTTATTGATTTACAACTAATTTAGGTCATCAAATTGATTTTATTATATTGATAGATGCTCGTAGTTTTCTCAAGAGTCCAGATAAATCGAGTTTAAATTATAATATGATATATTATCAACATTTGACCTAATTATAAAATATGTGTCAAACTATATTTTTTTAATTTTTTTAGATATCTAATTGTTTTTTTTATTATAAAAAAACCGGTGCTTAATGTTTCATTTCATTCACATTTCTAGATTTTTCTCTTACACTCGTTAAAAAATATTTTATCGGATAAATGTATACCATGTGACGTCAATATAAATTCTAGGACCCAAAAATTAATCCTAAACACTTTAATTTTTTTTATCAATGCTCTGTCTCACTCTCTCTTATAAAATTAAAAATCTTATTATCAAAAAATCAGTCTTAATATTTTAATTTAGAGAATTTATCTATTCATAGTTTGATTTTATTTATGGTAGTTGTAATAACGAGTTAAGTAAAATATATTGCAGAGCTTGAAGACCCATCAATGGTGGATAATGCCCTTTTTAACGGATATATCAAACTACCTTACAATTAGAGCTATAAATGACACGAGATAGATCGCGAGCTACTCGAGATCGACTCGATCAAGACACGATAAATACTCGGATTGAATGGACTCGACTCGAGTTCTTAACGAGCTGAAATGAGCTAGTTGATATTCGACTCGAAAAGCTCGTGAGCAGCTCGAAAATATAATATATTAAGATTTTATTTTTTTAAAATAAATTATTAATAATATTAATATTTATGTATTGATTTTTTTTTTAAAATACAGTAAAATTTTCATGTATTTAAGATTCAGGTTCAAGTTTGAGTTTGAGGCTTCAATCGAATTAAGTTTTTTTTTCATTTCGAGCTTTTTCGAGCTGCTCCCGAGCTTCAGTTCAGGATTTCGAGTTCGAGTTGAACTTGAAAATTTTAAGCTCGTGAGTTTTCGAGTTGAGTCGAACTCCATTTCAGAGTTTTCGAGTCAAGTCGAGCTCAGGAATACTCGAACTCGGATCGTTTACACCCCTACTTAGAATAGTTATGAAACGAAATATTAAACACTTACTTGAATAAAAAAAATTAGACACTTAAAATAAAAATATATATAGTTTGAACACTTATTTTACAATTAAACCTATAATTTCTCTTTTATGGAAATGAAAAATTATATATAAAAAAGGCCGCATTAATTTATTTCCTAATAAATCAATCATATCGACAAAGGGACATTGGTATATCTGGGGTTTAAATTAATTAGAGACTTAAATCCTAATTAATTAAAATAATTACCATCCTCCCAAATATTATTAAAGCCACATCAAATCATATGAGTAATTACTAATAAGTAGTTAAGCTGTCATTAATTTAAGGAATGAAAGCTCTTGTGCTGGGTATTTTTCCTTTTTGAGGAAAATAAATAAATATTTTAGCTGTCATGGGTCATTAAAAGCAAATAAAATTTTAAGAAATCAGTTCTATAATTAATTGTGATTTTTTTAGTTCAATTTCTTAATTTAATTAAAAAAAATCATAAATTTAATTAAAAAATCAATTTCCATGGGCTATGAATTATGAATGAGATATTTTCTTACTAAATTAGATTAGAAAATATGATTACTTTTTAAATGAAAAACAAAACTTTAATGAAAATTTTAAAACTAGAAGTATAACTTACCACTATAGTTAATAGTAATATATTCCGAGTGAAATTAATATATGTATATATATATATATCAATGAATGATATAATCTTAATTTTATTAAAATATTAGATATGTCTCTTTAAAACCATTTTGAAAATTTTGTTTATCTCTAAAGGTTGGACTATGTCTTTCCATTTGTTCCCCTCAATTTTAAAAAAATCTCCCAATTTTTAATAAAATGACAAAAATGCCGTTTCCCATTTCTTGATGTGACATATTGGTCCCTATTTTATCACACAAATTAAGAGTTTTTTTCTTTCAGTTATTTATATCTAGCCACACGTCGTTTTCCTGTCATGACATGTCATAGACGATTAACAATATTAGTCAATAGACCGATTAGGATAAAAGTAGACAATTTCAAGTATTATTTCATTATAAAAAAAATTCACGCGACCAAAATGATGAAAGGAAATAGTTTTGAGTACCATTTGAACATTTAACCCTAAAAACAACAGCAAAAGTCTCTTCACTTCAAGATCTTTAGTTTCACCCGAAAAAAAGTTGGAATCTATTGTCTATGATTTTGTATTAAGTTCTCTTACCTACACTACACTAAGTTCTTATCATACATATTTGAATAAAAAAAAATAAAAAAATACAATCATATCTAACCATAATTTTAATGTAAACCCATGTTAAATTTACGAACTAGGTAATGTGATCACGTATCTATCTTGAAATTCAAATTTTCTTTTATTATTTATTTATTTTATTAATTATATCTACCTCAAATTTTATTTGTGCTTTATCATCTACTAAAATTTTATGTTATTAATGCATGTATGTCCACTTCGAAAAAAGTTTAGGATCCGTCATGCTAATACTTGAACAACATAACACATTCATATCATCGAAAAATGACTTTAATAAAAAAAAACGATACATTATAGTTGAATTCTACCGTTTTTTTATATATAATTTTAACAGTGCGTGTAGTGACGGTAGCAGGTTTGTCTGCAAGTGAGTGTAGTAAAATGCAACGAAAATAAAGAAGAGGAGAAGGGAAAGGGAAAGGGAAAGGGAAAGGGAGGGCTCGATGCCTGCTCTTACGCACCATCCTATGTCGTTTTGCGCCTAATGGATTGGATCCACCGACCCTCTTTTACCCCTTACCCTTCTTCTTCATCTCTCAAACTTCCATTTAATTTTGATTTTGCGAAATTTGAAAAACAAATTAACCAAAGCCAATCAGCTAAAAGTTAAAAGGAAAAGGGAAATCTGGTTTGAGATGACGATGATATATGTGTAAGTATCTCTGCATGACACCAAGTAAGAGAAAGGGAAAGCAAAACAATTTCAGTTTATTCGCAGTTTGTCATTTAAAAGCAGCAAGATGTCCATAGCTTAGATTTTCTTATTACTTTCGTCTTCCTTTTCTCTCTTTTTATCTCGATGAGCCTTTGGCCTTTTTCAGATGAGATTCCAATATGGGTTTGCTGTTAGATTAATGGGTTTTTCGAGGAGATATCATATCTGAGAACTGGAATTCGCAGAAGAAGATTAACAGCAACTCAAGAAGGTGAGTTTTTTGTTTAAAGATGGCTGCTGCACCATCTTCCTCGGGTCCTTTCTTTGGAGTTAGAGAAGAAAATCAAAACCAGATCATGAAACAACCTCATTCTTCTTCATCAACCGGACCGCGGGTTGATCCATGGTCGCCGCCTCCGAAGAAAAAGAGAAACCAACCTGGAACTCCAAGCAAGTATCCAATTTTAGAAAACCCTATGATATGATCGTTTTTTTTTGTTAGTGATGACAATTTTGTTTTTATGATGACAGATCCAGATGCGGAGGTGGTGGCACTATCTCCAAAGACTTTAATGGCGACAAACAGGTTCATTTGTGAGGTGTGCAACAAAGGGTTCCAAAGGGAGCAGAATTTACAGCTTCACAGGAGAGGACACAATCTGCCGTGGAAGCTGAAACAGAAGACAAACAAAGAAGTGAAGAAGAAGGTCTATCTTTGCCCCGAACCGACGTGCGTTCACCACGACCCGTCGAGGGCACTCGGCGACCTCACCGGCATCAAAAAGCATTACTCGAGAAAACACGGCGAGAAGAAATGGAAGTGCGAGAAGTGCGAGAAGCGGTACGCCGTGCAATCCGATTGGAAAGCTCATTCCAAGACGTGTGGCACCAGGGAATACAGATGTGACTGTGGCACTCTCTTCTCAAGGTATTCAAATTCAATTCCATCAATCCAATTTACAGCTTAAACCCATCTTCAAAAACGAAAAAAAGAAAGAAAGAAATTGAAACAGTTCATCTTTTGTTTTTACTTGGAACCACCGCCCTTTTTTTTTACCTTTTTTTTCCAATTCACGTGATGCTTTTCCATGTATAGTTTCTCCGTGTTGTTGTTACCACATTTGTTCTCTTGTGGGTTGGCTAGACATGTTCAGGTCTGTACTCTTGCTAGTATCCATTCTCATGATATCGTTTTAAACTATGTCGTGTTATCGTTAAGATACGATCTTTACACTATATTACGATTGTAATTTAATATTATGGGTGTGTTTATTGTCGTTTCGGTGTTGATTGTGGTGAATATTGAGTCGAAACAGTACGATAACCACCGTAATATCTCGTTGCTTTTCAAGTAGGAATTTTGCAGTCTCAACCATAGGGAAGGGATAGAATTAGTGAAAACCTGATTGTGTTTTTTTGTTCTGATTCTTTTTTTAGAAAAACGAGATGTTCATTACTGACCGGAAACTCAGTTGTATTCCCATCAGTTTTTGCATTGATTGATCACTTTTCACTTGCTTTGAATACATTCTCTCGTTGCATTTATTGAACACCCAGTTCTTGAAATGGTAGTTTATCATCAAAGTTTATTAAATCATTTTCAAAGTTCTTAGTGAAAATTTCTTTTTATCTTTATTCAAAATGATAGGGGAAAAAAAAATTCAAAATCCCTATAATTTTATGTTCAAAACATGGCAGACGAGCAGTGATCTGTTCAACATTCTTTGGTTTTGCAGACGTGACAGCTTTATAACTCACAGAGCGTTCTGTGATGCATTGGCTCAAGAGACTGCAAGGCACCCGACTCCTTTAAACTCCATCGGCAGCCAGTTATATGGAAGTAGTAATTACATGAACTTAGGGTTTTCTCAAGTTGGAACCCAAATTTCATCGATTCAAGACCACAACAATAATCAAACCAGGGAGACTCTAAAACTTGGTGGTGGTTCCAGGAATTCTCAGTTTGATCATCTTCTTCCGCCGTCCATGGGTTCTTCGTCCTCGTCGTTTCGAACTCAACAACAACAACAACAGCAATCGATGGTTACTTCACCCGGTTTTGTCATACAAGAATCGAACCAGATTTTCAACCAAGAGTTGTTGGGAAACAACAAATCATTCCATGAATTAATGCAGTTTCAGGAAAACAATAGCGACAACACGAGCACCTCTCCTTCAGCAGCCGGTCTCTTCAACCTCGGCTTCCTTTCGAACGGCGGCAACAATGGCGGTGCAGATTATAATTTAACGTCTTCGGGTTTGTTAATATCCGATAATTTCAACAACGACAATGGCGGGAACGGTGGTGGGACAAACGAGCCTTCGAATCTCTTCTCTAAGAGCTTAATGAGTGATCAAATCACTTCAAACATCCCTTCTCTGTTTAGTTCATCGATTCAAAACAATAGCATGGTGCCGCAAATGTCAGCCACCGCATTGCTACAAAAAGCTGCTCAAATGGGCTCGAGTTCAAGCATCAGCAACAACAACGACAATTCTCTTCTAAGAAGCTTTGTAACATCTTCTTCAACCGGAACCAAAACCTCAAACTTCAACAGCATTTTCGGGGAAACCACAGCCGGCAACCATCTACATGAACTAATGAACTCCATAGCCAGTGGTAATTCCCCCATTTTCGGAAGCTCCAGTGGAGTCAATACATTTAACACTTATGCAAACAGAACTAGCATGGAACATGAAAAAACACCGCCTCCGCCACCGCAGCAGCAAAGTTTGAATGTTAGCGGCGGCGGGTCAGACAGATTGACTCGGGACTTCCTCGGAGTCGGGCAAACTGTTCGAAGCATGACCGGAGGAGCGACACAACAACAACAAGGAATCGGATTAAGCAGCTTGAGTTCAGAGAGAAACACAAATATTACGGCGCCGACAAGCCACCACTCTTTCAGAGGACGTGGGAATTTCCAGTGATGAAAGAAATCTAAAAACGCGAAAAAGGAGAAGATATGTAGAAATTACAAAGGTATGTAATTTTAACTAAAATTATGATTTTTAAAAGTTTTACTTTTTAATTTCAGCAGTAAATATGCTTTTAATTTAATTTTTTTTTTTAAAAAAAATCTTTCTCGTGTTCCTTTGAAGTCTCTGACACATTATCCTGCAGATGACAGTCCTGAGTTGTATAGTACATATGTGTTTTGTTTCTTTTATTGTCTGTTTCATTTTATTCTTCTTTATTTGTTTTTTATTTCAATTTTTTAAAAGAAAATTTTCATGGGCTGACAATGTCACGAGTATTGCCCTCAAGAATCTACATTGCCTAAGCAAAATATCTATCTTTTCTTCTTTCGCCATGCATTACTCATCATTCCCTTTCTATTTTATTAATTATTACCATTTTTTAATGAAAAATTATTTTATATTAATATGATATCTATACTCAAAGTATTAGATAAACTTTGAGACTAGGGATGCATGGAAGGAATTTTGGGACAATAGTTCTTAAAAATCTTAAATTTTTATATGATTTTAATGTTTTTTATTTTCTATTAATAATATATTTCATCTTTTAAAATTTTATAATTTCGTTCATTATATAAATTTATCACTCTAGCATAAAATTTTATGTCCATATTTATAAGAGATATCTTATCATCGTAATATTAATTATCATTTTCACATTTCATGTTAGATAATTGCTCGATGGCAAGACTTTTCAAGCTAACAACTCTGGAAAAATTAGAGATCGGATAGAGTCCGAGTCTTCGATCATTGATCGACAAAGATGAAGCTAATGACCCCCTAACTCCAAGCTAGGTATTGTATGAAACCTTTCCTTCCTTGTTTCTCTTCAACTGTTAATGTAAGTTTCCAATCAGTCCCATGCTACAATCTTTTTCTTTTTCTTACTTTAGATGGTGACTTTATCCCCCCCCCCAAAGAACATTCTCTTGTTACCTTTTCAACTACTTTTTATTGCATTTGTTGTATGATTAGGCAGCCGCCATTGTAGAATCAGGATCAAATGTCGTTTCCTTTATGCCTTGGGGTGCATGTGTTCTCAAATCAAGAGAAATTTGTTCCAATGTGCCCTTGGAATGATCACTTGTCTGGTTGCTTCATGCATTTGCTATTAGCTAGACAAACGTATCTTTAAAAGTATATTAATTCTCTCATTTTATACTTTATATTTCATAATAAATAATTTTATTTGATCCTTTTTTTTATATGAAAAGAGATTTCAATCCAAAACGGGCAGGTTGATATTTTGATCACTCAATCTTAATTTAAAAGTTAGAGTCTTTCATCCAATCATGATACGTTATGATTCTTTATAAAAAGAAGTGTATGTATTGATTTGGATAGAAAATTTTGAATAAGGATGGAGAAAATGAAGAGAAAATGAAAGTGAAACCCTAAATAATATATATGATGGTATTTTTTATGAATATATTAATTAACATAAATAAAATCATATCTTTAAAATATCCTAGGTGGGTTTGGTGCATTCTAATTAGTTTTATATTATTACAAATAATAATATGAATTCTTGTAGAAAAATAAGTGCATTTTGTTGTTTGATGGTTGATACCTATCTAATTCACATACGTGAGGAGGCATAGGCAAAATATGCAACGTACAAATGTATCATTGTATAAAGTTTTCCTAGTAAATTAACATGTGACCTCTATAACTATATAAGGTGGCCAAATCCTTAATGCATGGGGTTCTTTAAATTTCAAAGGGTCCTACCTTGTACAATTTCTAGGGTTCCATGTCCTCTTGTAGTTGTAAATATTCCATGGGGGGGATAAAATTAGTGGCATATCATAAATAAAAATTAAGTCAAATTTGTCATGAATAATGTTCACATTTTATATATGACTTTAATGTGAATTGCAAGATAAAATTTTATTTTGATTTGATTAAATTCATGAATTTTGATATTTAATTTATATATTCTATTAATATGGTCATATATTTCACATCATCTTACATTTATTTATTAAATGCTTTTATTTTTATGAAACATGAACATTTTTGAATTTTATTATTATTTTAAATGTGTATAAATTCAAAATTATATGTTAGATTAAACCAAATTACAATTCTTCTATCACTACTCTTATTAACTATTACGTTAATTCTTCTATTAAATATTAACAATAAATGATTTGATTAACATCATTTAAATAATTAAATGATCAAATTAATTGTAAAACTAAAAGATCAATAATTAAACTAGATTTCTTATAATTATTGGTCGAAAAATAATGATTATTATCAAAATTGTTAGTTGAAAAAAAGGTCACATGCAAAAAACGAAAAACTATAACAGAATAAATCAAATGAAAATCGTATGCGAATGAAGAAAGGAAGAAAAGAAAGGCCAAGGAATATCCTGCGTGCAATACTTAAAATTGAATAACTACGTTTATAAAGTGTGTACGTATTATCAATAATTAAAAAAATTTAAACAAAAATCATTTTATAATTAATAAAAATTATTAAAAAATTATAAATTTAACCTGTTTTTCCTGGGAAGTTAAAAATTAAAAAATAAAATAAAAATCAAATATTTTGTAAAATAAGTACTGTGAGTCACGGACTCATTGATTCCATAAAGTGAAAATGGAGACACCAATTGCGACAAAACTGCCATATTATACAGTTTCCCAATAACTCCAATTACGAACAATTCCTGATGCTTTCACTGCTTCTGTCTGAATTTCAGAAATTTCCGACACAACACTATTATATAAAACTACTGTATATTTACCGATTTATCCCCCAAAAAACTACTGTATATATTTTTTTTCAATCTCATTAAATACCCCATAATGATAAATTAAGATCACGTTTGGCTGATATTTTATGATAATCATAAGTGAAAATCGTTGAACACCTAAATTTAGAAACATAATTGCAGTATCACTTCCTATGAAAGAACAAAAATACATAAAATAATGTATTTATCTATGCTTGTGACATGAATTCTATGATAATTTTTCAAAATGTATTTTAATTTATGAACATTAAGAAACAAATATTTTTATAAGTTTGTATATATGTGTGGATCATCTTTGATCTTTATGTAACCTTTTTGACTGATTCAATGAGACATGTAAAGCTAAATTCCCTCAAATATATTCAACTCACCAAGTCAAACATAATGCATTTTTATTTTAGTACAATTAAACTAGCCAAGAAAAAGAGAAAATAGTGGGGGAAATGTCTAAAGAATGTCAACAATTAATTCCAAATGTAATGGGGTTAGGTATTAGGTGGCCAAATAAATTCTCTTAAATTATATTACATGAATACATTAAAGATAATAATCACCTGCATCGAATAAACATTGGAATTGATCAGTAGGAATTAAAAAATAGTTAAAAGAAAAGAAAATAATTATTCGCTTGTCCACTCTGTTGGAATGTAGTAAGCATGTTGAGATTCTTGCTGTCCACGCTGATATGTTGACCTATTCTTAACTTTTTACAATTTTATCCAAAAGAAAAAATATTTTTATTTAATATATATTTTTATTTAAAATGTAAGAATAAGAATAAGTAACCAAATGATTACGTACTACCTTTAAAATGATACCTTTGGAAGGAGAGAAGTGTAGAGTTTCCAATTACGTAAAGAGGGTCGTTTTGATGTCGGAGTTAAACGGTTGTCCGAGTATGGACTTAAACAAATTCTTACCATCTTTGTTTCATGGCAAAAATCAGCCAAATTCATCCTTAAAACACTTTTAGTTTTAGAAATGGAAACCCTGATTCATGAAGTTCAATTCAAGAGAAGAAATTGAGCATAAGTTTATCGTTTTTCTCGCTACTTAGTAACCCTACAAAAGCTTTGCTTGCCTACTTAGACAAGCTTTGCACCACCGAATTGCTGAGACGTTGCTTGAGCTGATGATTTCATCTCTGGGTTCAAAGAGCCAATATTGATCCCGTGTTGACCGGCGCCGCTGATGTTTCTCACAATTTCTCCGACACCCAGAAAATCCAATGTTAATTTGTCGGTCCCGCCGATGCTTGCCGCGAACTTATTAGCTTCATTAACGTTGGAGAAGTTGGTGTTGTTGACATGATGTTCGACTTGCATCCCGCTTCCGGTGAATCCTCCGACGAAGTTGCTTTGATCTTGTCCATGACCGGCACCGAAAATGGAGGAGTTACCCTTGGCAAGAGAGTTCAGTAGTCCTTGAAGATTGTTGTTATCGTTCTCCATCTGTGATCTCAGCGTTTCTCCTCCTCCTCCTTCACCGCCGCCGAAGTTAGCGGCGAAAACTTGTCTATCGGATTTCACCCCGCTCGACGAAGAACTCCCTATTCCCCTTAGCAATGAGGAAGTGTTGTTGCTTGTAGTTGAACCCATTTGAGCAGCTTTTTGAAGCAATGCGGTTGCCGACATGTTTGGAGAAATGTTCTCATGTTGCATTGAAGTAGTGCTGTAAAGAGAAGACAGCCCCGAACCAACCTCATCACCCATGTTAAACTGATTACTGCTTAAAAACCCTGAACTCGATAAGTTGGTGGCCGACGCAGTGCCGTTTTCACCGGCACTCATGCCGCTGGAGCCGTCATTGTTGGGGAAGAAGCCTAAATTAAAAAGATTGGCGGAGTTGGCCCCCGAATTGTTAGTATTGCCTTGAAGGTCAGGAAGTTGCATTAGACCATGAAATGGTTTGTTCATGTAAGGTCCATTCCCATGGTGATCTTGATGAAAACCTTGGTTCGCGGCATCCGCCATGAAGAACGCCGATCCGGGCATGTTTTGCAACGAAGAAGGATTGGACGTGGAGCCGATGAGGTGCTCCAACTTGGCGGCTCCGCCGCCTCCCAACCGCAACATATTACTCAACGGTTGATGCTGAGCTTGCACATGGGATAATCCTAAGCTCATTTGATGATGATTACTTCCAAAGAGATGATGAGTTCCCATTGTGGCTAAGTTACTGGTGGTTCCTTGAGCCAACGCATCGCA